CTTTGAAATTTACAGACACATTTCTAAATATGTATACTTTAAGAAAATGCACAAAAAAAAAATTCGATTTTTCGAAAGTTACAACTGGTGTTCCCCCCTTAAAATAAAAAAAATAATAAATATACTTACAATTATACTGCAAATAAAAAATAAAAAATATACTTAAAATTATATTAAAAAAAAAAAAATTTTACTATAAATATAAAAAAAATACTTAAAATTACTAAATTAATATATAACACAATTCATATACATATATATACAATTCGACATCTATATTGAAGACTATGCAACACTTGAGTTATAAATGCTAATGAGGTTGTTGGCAATAATACGACGCGACCTTGCGGCTTTATTTTGATGGGGGTCGGGGCGTTTTTCTAATGGCACCATTTAATCGTTTTCCGTTTGACAATGGCCGAGCCCCATAAACACGCAAACACACACACATATATATATAAATATACTCGCACGCATAGGGGTTATACAAACATTAAAAGAGATCCTGAGTATCGCGCGTCGCAGGTAGAAACGATTTCGAAAGAGGACATTATTGCACGTGTGTTTGTCGTCTCTTTGTGTCTGGTGCTTGGTAAGGTGTCACGCGACTCACAAGGTGCTGTAGACACTCCTTTTTTACTGGACATCGGCCAAAAATTTGCCTTTGTACAGCGCTCTCGTTTAATAGAATATCTTGATGACGTTTAAAGAACATTTTGCCGATGACACTTCCGCGAATCATTCTCAACTCATTCTTGTCTTCATTCCAGCTCTTTTCAATATATAGCTATATATATAGATATATACTGACATGAACGTCCCTTATTTAATTTCCGCCTTCTACATTTCTTATGAGAAGCAAAATAAATGTAAGAGAAACTTTTTTTATTTTTGTATAGAAATAGAATTTTTTGTTTACTTTTTCTGAACTCTCAGTCAGTGCTGGGTCGGTAGCTAACTCTAAAAATTATCCGGTTATTTACTTAAAACTGCAAAACCCTGTTTTTAATTCGAAATGTGAAACCAGCTTAACCTTAGATTTTAAAATTTTCGTTGTATGAGTTGGTTTCCATTTTCCCCACTCGCCATTTGTCATAATTCTCATCAACTACAGCACCCTGCTCTAGTGGAAATTTAGTAACTGGCATAGTAATTTTTAAATTTAACAATAAAGTTACTAAATTTTCACTAGAGCAGGATGCGATAGTTGACGAGAATTATGGCAAATGTGGAGTTTGGCGAGTGGGGACAATAAAAACCAACCGTATGGAACAGGGATGGGTAGGTATAACATATACATATAATGTATGTTATATGGGTTTGTTACGGTATGTTACATCGAAAACGTTGAGTTACATGTAACTACGTAATCCTGGTATAGAAGCAGTGTTTCACATTTCGGATGTTCTAATGTAAAATTATTAGGCTGTATTTACATAACTGCGTTGTGGACATAGCTTAACGTACATCAACAGGTATGATTGGTTTCCATTGTCCCCACTCGCCATTTATCATAATTCTTGTCAACTACCGCACCCTGCTCTATTGAAAATTTATAGCGACTTTATAGTAATTTTTAATTTTAACTATAAAGTCACTAAATTTTCACTAGAGCAGGGTGCGGTAGTTGACATTTTTTGTCTACTTACAGGTCAAAGAAGCAAAATAAATAAAACGAAATTGAAAATACCTAAATTAGAAAAATTAAAATCACTCTCGATTGGCCTATACTCCTATGCATGAGTGACACTGTTGATTGGTATATCATTATAAAAAAGGGTACTTGGTGCACCGACCACATATCCTTTCTTAAATTTATATATGCTCATGCAAAAAAGAGAATGAAAAAAATTTAAATAAAAGATCGAGAGCGTAAGAGAGAATGAAGAGGGTGGAAAAAGTTGATAAAAGTGAGATAGAGTGAGAACAGGGAAATGGGGCACCGGTTTCCTGTAGTGCGGTGCTTCGAGCCCGTAACAGAAGAACTCGAACTCCCCCCCCCCGTCACCCCTCCCTCTCCATTAAACCCCGTTCACTATTTTAATAATCCCCCGGACCCCTTCAGTGTATGCAGTCTATATATATATATGAGGATGCGTAAGTGGACGAAAGAGAGAAGCCAAGAGGGGTGCCGGGGGAGTGGGGGGAGGGAAAGAAAGACGGAGAATGACCCCCCATTACTGTCTCGTGCCCGGTGTTATGGGGTTCTGCCCTCCTGCTGCGTACATCTGTCCTTCCAATAGTTGGCATTTTTCACGTAACGGGTGGCTTTCAAAGCCTATATCCCGACTTTTTAAATGTTCCACGCACGCCTTTGTTCTAATATTTTCTTTTTTCTAGTCTCTCATGTGGTATTTTTTTTCTAAATTTTGGTTTTTGTGGTTCCTTTTTTTTTGAAGTCAAGTTTCATGACTATTTTTACTCCCTCTGTATTTTTTGAACCTCATTTAGTTGAAAGGAAACTTGAAAAATGGTATTATTTTTCCAATTAAACTTTTTTTTTTAATTTTCCATTGTGCATTGCATTTTTCCTCTTCCGGTTTGACGGTATTTTGGAAAGTTGTAAAATTTCTATAATAATTTTATTAGTTCGTGGCGTATAGTGTAACCACATGTCATGAACTAATAAAATTATTATAGAAGTGTTACAACTTTTCAAAAATAGTATAGGTTATGTCCCCACTTGACATTTTATTATAATTTTCATCAACTACCACACCCTGCTGTATAGTGAAAATTCAGTAACTTTATAGTAATTTTTAATTTTAACATTAAAGTTACTAAATTGTCACTAGATCAGGTTATGATAGTTGACGAGAATTATGATTAAAGGCGAGTGGGGACAATGGAAACCAACTCTAAGTTTTATTAGGCTGGGTCTACAATGAATTTCTAATATTAACATAAAGGCGTAAGCATAATGGAGCGGTCACACCTCGCCTGCAGAAGCAGTTGCCAATGGCAACCGTGTAAGAGTAAGAGAGATGGAAAATCTTCTATCTCTCTTACTCTTACACGGTTGCCATGGGCAACTGCTCCTGCAGCCGAGGTGTGACCGCTCCATAAAACTCCAAAATCTCCACTCGCCATTTGTCATAATTCTCGTCAACTACCGTACCCTGCTCTAGTGAAAATTTAGTAACTTTATATACTACCTTTTGATTTTAACAATAAAGTCACTAAAGGTTGGTTTCCATTGTCCCCACTCGCCATTTGTTATAATAATTCTCGTCAACTACCGCACCTTACTCTAGTGAAAATTTAGTGACTTTATTGTTAAAAGTAAAAGTTACTATAATGTCACTACATTTTCACCAGAGCAGGGTGCGGTAGCTAACCAAGAGTTAAATGGAAAACGGAACTTTGAATAGTGGGGACATTGATATCTTTCTACACGTTGAAAACTTCTAATTACACCTAACTACACAACCCTGGTTCCAATTGTTGAACAATTAGATAGAGAAAGACAGACATATAAACTTTCATCCTTGTTACACTATCATTGTTCAATGCTGCGTGGAACGCAGTCATGTAAACACAGCTTAAGATAGAAAAATACAAAAACAGTCACTGTACTTTTCTATCTTGTTGTGATTTGATCTTGGGTTTGCGTCAAAAACATAACCAAAAAATCGACTATAGTAAAATTAAATTTCAACTATAGAAAAATTAAATACAGTCGCAATTGCATAAATTCTGTCCTTTCGTTTTGACACGGCATTTTGAAAAGTCGTGACATTTTTATAATAATTTTATTAGTTCGTGGCGTATGGTGTAAAGGCCAACGCACAATAGCTTCGCGAAGATCGTTCGGCGAACGAGTTGCAAAAGATAGAAAAGGACAACAATATATCTGTTCTTTTCTAACTCATGCGAACAAATTTCAAACTGATTTCACCAATTTTTTTTCATCGCTTTGACATAAACAAAACACACTATCAGAACCATGCGCGCGCATCTCTTTAACAGTTAATTATAAAAAAAATAATAGGTGTTCCTATGTCGACAACAAGTTGACGTAAACAGAAGGAAAAAAAGTTGTAGGAAGCTGCTACGTGAAACTATTGTGCACTGGCTTTAAACAATTGCATACCAGGTTGGTTTCCATTGTCCCCACTCGCCATTTTGTCATAATTCTCGTCAACTACCCTACTCTGCTCTATAGTGAAAATTTTACCTTTTAACAATAAAGTCACTAGAGCAGGGTGCGGTAGTTGACGAGAATTATGACAAACGGCGAGAGGAGATTTTGGTGTTTAGTATGACAATGGAAACCAACCTTTAGTGACTTTTTTTGTAAAAATCAAAGAGTTTCTAAATTTTTACTAGAACAGGGTGCGGTAGCTAACCGAGAATTATGACTAAAGGCCTGAGCAGAATAGAAACGTAATCGCAAACGCAACCGAAAGAATGAGTTTTAGAGAAGGACAAAAAAAACAAACAAACCTAAAATCATAATTATTTAAACTAATCAGTATGGAACAGTAAAAAAAGCACACCCGTTACATTTCTCTCACACACACAATTTTATCTCGTTCGTTGGTCTCTCCTTCTCGGCTCACTCCTCTCGGGAGGTTTTTAAAATGCTCCGGTAGGCAGACCTACGATATGCTACCGCTCTCAACTGTGGGCGCGTGTGTGAGTGACGAGGACCACGAGATAAAAAAAAAAGCGAGAGAGAGAGAGAAAGAACGCCCCAAGTGAACACACACACACACACACACATAGAGAGAGTGAGACACGAAAGGTCGGTGAATATTGAGGGAGTCGGATGTCTAGAACTCGTGGTAAAGTGAGACAGAGATTTCGCTATCTCGTTCTAACGATAGAATGAACGAGATAGAGAGAGAGAGAAAGCAGTACTGCGCGCTTGCGGAAGAGAGCATCGGCATCGCTGACGCGACTGAAGAGGGGGAGGGAGGTGGGGACGAAAAGTGGGGGGAGAATTGAAGAGAGATAGAGAGAGGCGAAAGCTTGGAATATGCGGGCGGACAAGTGAGGTAGAGTGGCAACGTGCCTTATAGCAAGGCTCGGCATGCTACTACTACTACTACTGGCGCGGTGTGTGTGTGTATGAGGAAGCTACCGACGCGCGCGCACACAAATACAGGAATATATACGCGTTCGGATGGGGTCCCGGTTTGGATAGGCCTGTCCCGTCCCGTAGAGTATCGCTCTCTCGCCACCCGCTATCCACAGAGCAGTTTCACAACCAAGCCGCCAGTGTCCCACCGCACGCCGAACCGTTTGCACTCAGAAGCGATCAAGGGAGCTTCTCTCTATATACAGATATATATATAGAGAGAGAGAAGTGACTCCCGCGCACCGCGTTCGTTTCCCCCACCACTTTTCTCTCTCTTGTCCAACACTCTCGGCGCCTTTCTCTCTCTCTCACTTCTGTTTTCTCACATTGCGTTCTCTCTCACTTTACCCCCTCCCCTCTCGAGCCCAAACGAATCTCGTCTCGCTCGTAACTCGTGTGTGGTGTGCTGTATTGCTCCCACTGTCACCTGATCGCGGGACGTCGCTTTTCGCGGGTGAGATACCGCTCGGCCACTGAGTCAACTTGAGTGCTACGATATCGTTCTCTCTCTCTCTCACTCTCTCTCATTCAGTGAGTAGTGTGTGTTTTTGATTCCCCGCGCGCTCCTCTGCCCGGCGCGACTTTTGCCTGTCACTATTGGCGAGACTCTCGCTGCGTATAGATCGTGTGTCAAATTTAAAAAAAAAAACAATTGTGCAGTTTTTTTTTGTCCAACTAAATAATAAAATAGTGATTTGTGGGAAAAATTTATTTTTGTGGAGAATAATCTACAGGTTAGTTTTTTCTTTATTCTGTTGTTTTTTTTTATTTTCGATTTTTTTTATCGATATTGTTTATCGATTTTCGTGATTGTGATTGGATATCCGTGTTTATTAGGTTCTGTCTACAATGAAAGTTTTTTTTTTTTTGTTCGATCAACAGTTTTTTCTTTTGATTCATTTATTGCTTTTAGTATACTCAGTTTTTTTTCGATTAATCGATTTTTGTGATTGGATATCTGTGATTATTAGGTTCTGTCTACAATGGACAATAGTTTTTTTTTTTATTCGATGCGTGAATGAACAATTTTTTTGACATTGAAAACCTGTGTAGAAAAAATTTTCGATAATCGATTAAATCGATTGTTGTCTATATTGTGGAGTCAGCCTTAAATTTTTACAAAACTGCGCTTATGGTGCATTTACACCGCATTTGTCGAAAAATTTTTTTTCTTTGCATTTTTCAAAATGCACAAATCTATAATTGGTTGTCCGCAATTAGTTAGATTGTGGACAACCAATAAAATTTGCGCATTTTGGAAAATACAAATAAAGAAAAGCAAATTTTTAACAGAAGGTGTGTAAATGCATACCAGTAACTGCGGTTTTTAGGTTGAGTCCACAATTAACCATTTTTTTTTAATCGATGAATATAGCTTGTTTTTTTGTACAGGTATACCAATACAAAAAAATGAAAACTGAAGCTACGCATTGGTTAAGAGAAATTTGTTTATTGTAGATTCAACCTTAGTGAAAATACAAATTCTTATCACTAGCCAAATTTTTATTTTTTAATATATTTTAATATTATTTTTATATAATTATTCTTATTCTTATTATTATTGTTATTATTTTATTATTATTATTATTATTATTATTATTATTATTATATGTTTTTATGTATAATTGTAATAATAAATTGAATAAATTTTGGTGACAAATTTTTTTTTTTCCATTAAAAATTTTATTTTTTTTTGAAGAGAAAAAAAGGTTTTCCTTGAAATATTTAAAAAAAAACTCTTTTTATTGTCTTTTGGTAAAACTTGACAATTGTCGTGTTCTTCTTTTTCTCTCTTTTTTTTTCTTTTTGTCACTAAAGCCTCGCGCGCTTATTGAGCCGTTAACGAGGGCGGTCTCTTGTTCCAAGTGGAACTTCACGGTCGAAATGTCCAATCACGATCACGTCTTGTAATTTTTTTTTCATTTTTTTTTTGTATTATTAGTTGAAATTATAACAACGCAAATTGAGACCCGATATATAATGATAATAATAATAAATAGAATATTATAATAATTAAAAAATTTTAACATTTTTTTGTGCAAAAATAAATTCGGCAAAAGGGCGTGGGACGAGAGGGAGGTGGGGATACATATGTTTATTTTGAAAGTCATTTTTTTATAAACAATGTGTTTTACAATTAAAAATGAAGATTTTTTTTTATAATTAATAACTTAAACCAATATATAACAAAAAATTTATATAAATTTCAGCAAAAAAAAACTGTTTTGCTTTTTTTAGAATTAAGACACAGTTTTTTGCATTTAAGGCATTTGATGCTTAAATGAAGAATATTTTTTACTTTGAAAAAAAGCCATAAAAACCGTTTGCCGAATTTTAGAGAAAAATTGGTCTTAAATTAAGCGAGTCAATTTCCTTTTCTAAATTTAAGAAAACAATACTTGAATTGAGAAAAATTTTAACTTTGGTACTTAATTCAAGAAAAACTTAATTTAAGCTATTCTAAATCAATAGGTAATTAAAATTTGAAGAATGTTGCTTAAATTAAGAAAATTTGTTAATTTAAAGTTAATTCAAACTATATATATATATATATATATATATATATATATATATAGTGACGATGGTAATTTTTGTTTTGAATTTTTAATATTGTAGTTACGATGGTAAATAGGTTTTCCTATTAAGTATTTCATTAACCTAATCATATCTGATAAGGTAGAAATTTTATTGACCAACAGTCAAATTTTTGTATGTACGAAACTCGTACAAATATTTTCGTGCATGGTTTCTGAAAAAAATGGATCGCCTCTCGCTGCTGGGGTATGATCCCAGAACCTTCTTATTGCCGGTAAGATGCTCTACCAATTGAGCTACAGAGAGACCCGATTCCACTCTACTCAGAAACCATGCACACGACTTTTCAACGTCAATATTAAGAACTTTAGAAAATATCTAGTGACGATGGTAATTTTTGTTTTGAATTTTTAATATTAATAATATTAATTTTTAATCGGGTCTCTCTGTAGCTCAATTGGTAGAGCATCTTACCGGCAATAAGAAGGTTCTGGGATCATACCCCAGCAGCGAGAGGCGATCCATTTTTTTCAGAAACCATGCACGAAAATATTTGTACGAGTTTCGTACATACAAAAATTTGACTGTTGGTCAATAAAATTTCTACCTTATCAGATATGATTAGGTTAATGAAATACTTAATAGGAAAACCTATTTACCATCGTAACTATATATATATATATATATACTAAATTAATGTAAATATAATGATTAAAAAATAAAATTTTTCTGAATTTCAGTAAAAAATGGTCTGAAATTAAAACTCTTTCTAAATTTAAGAAAAACGGTTCTTAAATTAAAAAAATTTGTCAATTTAAATTTAATTTAACCTTTTTATTAAATTAATGTAAATATAATGATTAAAAATAAAATTTTGCTGAATTTTTGTGGAAAAATAGTCTGAAATTAAGACTCTCTCTAAATTTAAGAAAACTTTGCTTAAATTAAAGAAAATTGCTTAATTTAAACTATGTACTATATAAATCAACGTAAACGCGTGATTATAGAATAAAATTTTGCTAAATTTCAGAGAAAAAATAGTCTGAAATTAAGACTCTTTTTCTAAATTTAAGAAAATAGTGTTTAAAATACTGAAATTATGCAAGATTTAAAACTTTACGAAATACTAAACTATAATGCAAATGTAAATTAATTTACAAAATTGTTATATTTTAATTTTTTTTATACTCTCTCTCCCCCCCCCCCCTCTCTCTCTCTCTGAATTCAAGTCACTGCGTTACTGAAATTAAAAAAAAATTTCAATTTTGATCTTAAATTTACAGTTGATTTTGAGTTTATAAAAAATTTTTAAATTAAAATTTCTCAATAAAAATTCTAAAATAAAGATCTTGAAATTAAAATACTTAAATTAAGTAACAATTTCTTAATTTAAGACTGTTCTGAATTTCAGATATCGTTATTTTTGAAAAAAATCTTTATGTTGAATTTGAAAAATTTGTCATATACACATATAACGTTGAAAACCCTCGTCTACCTATTATATTTATATACTTTAATGATTCTCAAAATTACCCCTATGTTATAACCTAATTACCGCCACCTGATCAATTACACGATATAAACTTTTATTCTTTTGAACTCATTTATAAAATAACAGCTGCGAGATTTACCTATACTATAAAAATAGGGTGACTTTTTTGACGCGCGCGAATAATACATATACACAAAGTGAATATAAAACATCCCAAGCATTTTTTCTATATAATTTTTTTTATATCGTAAACATATATATTTATTCATATAAAATTGTATTTTCGATTTTAAAGTAATTTTTTTTTACTTTTCGATTATAAAGGTTTTTTTTTTTTTTTGAAACTATATAGGTATAAATCGGGTTTTAATGTGCCAAATTAAGAGGAATTATTTTTATCAAAATTTTGAGAAAAGAATTATTTTGCTTTTGAATTTTATTCAAAAATTATATTTTCCTCTCGGAATTATTTGTACATACGAAAGAAGAAGAAGAAAAAAAAGATTATTTGGTTCATATAATCGCAGTTACAACGTGTGTCTATTGTCAAATAAATATTTACTTGAGCGATATATAATTTTTCTTGGAATCCAATAAATTATATCGATATCAAAAATTTCTTCACTTGAAACGAAAAACGTTCAGTATATAGATTCAAACTATACTTGGTGTAATTATTATTATTTATTATATTATTATTATTATATAATTACTATATTATTATTAAATTACTATTATTTTTATTATTATTTATAGTTTATTTATTGTCGAATATTTATTTGTATAAAAAAAATATTTTTTTCTCCAAAAAAAATTGTGTTTTTTCTATAATAGTCAAGTAATCGTTTATGTTTGACTTAAATTTTTTGTAAAGGATTTTAGTTTTAAAATTATTTTTAAACAAATGTTGTATTTTTTTTTTATTATTTTATTGTAGAGGATTTTTTTTCGATATAATTGATAAAAAAAAGAAATTTTTGAACTTAGCCATAGCGAAGCTTTTGTTTTTGGTGGGGTAAAAAAAAAATGAAAAATTATTCGATATAGAAGCTTCACATCATCAGACAGAGAAGCAGAAGATAGCGGTACTTGTTCCGGTGGCCGGCGCGGGCCGTTCGCCACACCCGCCCGTTTGGGAATTCGACTTATCGTCGCTCGACACTCTCTCGAGTCTTTGACAGTAAATTTATATATGTATATACATACATATATATACAATATACATACATACATTTATATATATATATACAACTCGCTACCCAACTCACTAACGAACGTCGGGGAAAGTCTCGCAATTCATATAGGCGGGTAAAAATATATAGCTGCCGCGCTAAAACGGTTCGTAGCGCTCCAGGGGTTGTATATAGTCGCCTATATTTTAAATATATATACACTCCCGATCTTATCTGCTTGCCCGTATGCCGCGATATCCGATGGGCGGTAGCAATAAAATCGCGAGTAGGCGATAAAAAGAGTTGCAAAGTAAAACCGATCGAGAGAGTCTCTTCGTCTTATCGAACTTGATGTACATATATATATATATATACTCTAGTTCGCAATCCTCTATAACGGAAATTTACGTCTTTCTGGCTTTCCGATGCACTGGATTCTGGTGTTTTTAAATTAACCTACATTAGATGTACGTTCAAACTAGGTTCAAACTAGAATAAAACTAGATTGAAACTAGAATAAAACTCAATTGAAACT